TTTCCGAGGCAGTATCTCTATGGAAGTAGATTGCCCAACCTTCCTTCCGAGGAGTGGCTGGTGGGTTTGAACCGCCAGCCTTCTGGTTAGCAGTCAAGTGTCTTAGGCACAGAGCCACTTCGGCCTTGGAACAAGCCATCCACCTGACATGTAAGGCCCCCACTTCTGTGCAGGTAGAGAACCGGGCCTGGCCATTTGCTCCAGTCTTGGTGGCACAATGACTAAGTGGTCAGCTGCTAACAGAAAGGTCGGTGGTTCAAACCCATCCAGGGCTCCACAAGAGAAAGACCTGGTCCTCTGTTCCCATAAAGATTACAGCCTAGAAAACCCTGTGGGGCAGTTCCACTCTGTCACATGGGGTCACTGTGAGTCAGAGATCGACTCAGTGGCACCCACAGCAACAGCCATGTTGGTTTCAAATATTGAAGCACTTCTATACCATTAAGGAGCTCTAGTGGCACAGTGCCTAAGGCATTTGACTGCTGACCAGAAGGTTGGCGGTTCAAACCCACCAGCCACTCCATGGAAGGAGGACGGGGCAATCTACTTCTGTAAATATTTACCACCTCAGAAACCCAATGGGGATCGCTTGAGTTGGAATCAACTCGATGGCAGTGCGTTTTCCATACCATTCAGCAAATTGCTACTGTCTTTGCCAATCAAGTGCTCCCCGCCATCCTGTCCCTTCCCCTAGGGCCCTCTGGGGTCTTTTGACAATCTGACAACCAAAGGGTTAATACCTAGACCAGCAAGTGCTCTCCAGAACCCTTCCCCCCAGCACTAGAATGCTTTGCACCCCCTTGGTGCCCCAGCTGTCTGCCATTGGACCCCAGTCCTCTCCCTGCGCTCAGATGTCTAGCCCATCTGTCAGCTAACCTCCCGGCGTCCCTCCTGATTGGTGGTTGAAGATGTCAGTTATATTCCCTTGAGTTAGCAATGGAAGACTCAGCCCCGTGGCCCCCGGCTGACCGCCTGCGTGCCCTCTCCTTCTCTCTGTGTCCTGCAGACAGCCCTGCTCCCCGGGTCCTGGCCTTCCTGCACCCCCCTGCCCTGAGCGAGGCTGCCCTGGCTGCTGACCCTCGCCGTTTCTGCAGCCCTGACCTCCGCCGCCTCCTGGCACCCATCCTGGATGGGGCTTCAGCGGCCGCCACCCCTAGTGCACCCCTGGCTGCACGGCGCCCCCAGAGTCCTCTTCCGGTGAGCAGTCCCACCCCCTCGAGGCCTCAGGAACCAGGCTGTTTGAGCCATTGACTTGAACCTTGCTCTTCTCTGGGCCTCAGTTTCTCCATCTGTGTAATGGGAAGGTTGAGATAAAATGGGGCACTCAAACAAAGATGGTTCCTATAAGACTTAGGTTCCAGATTCTTTAGCCATTACAATTGCAGAGTTTGAACCCCACCTGAGATGTTTAGTGGTGGCACAGGTGACCTCCCTGATGTGTAACCAAGGGTCTCTGACCTTTGACCTCAAGGAGTCAGGAATATATAATGTCTTGAGTTACACAAACCTGGATTCAAGTCCTGAATCGTCTACTTAGCAGCTGTGTTACCCAGGGCAAGTGAGATCTTCCATTTCTTCACTCGTAAAATGAGGGTGTTAACAAGTAACCACTTTATTGGTTATTGTGAGGTTAAATGAGGTCATCTATAGCCAAGAATTTAGGATGGGACTGCCACCAAGTTGGTGCTCAATAGGCTATGGAAGTTACCATTTTTCCTTAGGATTCAGAGAGTCTGATCTTTGACCTCAGGGGTCCATCTGACCCCCTACACTCCAATCCCTAGCTCAAATGCCTAGACTGTCTGAGTGTGGACATTTCCCAGGCTCAAGACTTCTGAAGTCGCCACTCTGTCTCCCCACAGGCTGATCTCCCCAGTGAGTTACTTGTGGATGTGGAGAATTCACACAAACTCGTTGCCTCTGGGAAAGACCTCGAGGCAGTGGAGACAGATCTAGATATAGCTCAGGTAAGGGACAGTGTGGAAAGAATGATCTTCACCTCTGAGCCCTTGGAGTTGATGTATCTGGGCTTGAGAGAAGGGTGGTAGAATAGTTGGTTGGATGGATGGATGGATAATTGGATAGATGGACCACTGATTCATTAGGTGGATGATGGTAGGGGGATGGATGATGTTTAGGCAGCTATTTGGATGGATGGATGGACGGATGGATGGATAGCTGGATAGATGGACCATTGATTCATTAGGTGGATGATGGTAGGGGGATGGATGATGTTTAGGCAGCTATTTGGATGGATGGATGGACGGATGGATGGATAGCTGGATAGATGGACCATTGATTCATTAGGTGGATGATGTAGATGGATGGGTGATGTTTAGACAGATATTTGGATGGATGGATGTTTGGATAGATAGTTGGATAAATGGACCATCAGTTCATTGGATGGAAGATGGATGGATGGATGGATGGATGGATGGATGGATAGATAGCTGGATAGATGGACCATTGATTCATTAGGTGGATGATGATAGATGGATAGATGATGTTTAGATGAATATTTGGATGAATGGATGGATGGACAGATGTTGGATAGATAGTTGGATAAGTGGACAATCAGTCCATTGGATGAAGGATGGATGGATGGATAGTTGGGTAGATGGACCACTGACTCCTAGGTGAATGATGATAGATGGATGGATGATATTTAGTCAGTTATTTGGATGGATGGATGGATATTTGGGTAAGTGGACTATTAGTTCATGATGGATGAATGGATGATTGAGTAGACAGATGAATTACAGTGGTGTTGTGTATTACCTATCTATTAATATATAACAAATCACCCCAAAACCTAGCAGCTTAAAACAACTGACATTTATTATGTCACACAGTTTCTGAGAATCAGGAATTTGGGAGTTGCTTAGCTGAGTAGTTTTTTCCTCAGGGTCTTTCATGAGTTTGCAGTCAAGCTGTCATTCAGGGCTATAGTCATCGAAGGCTCCTGAATATGTTTCCAGCTTCACTCACATGGTTGTTGGCAGGTCTCAGGTCCTTTCTGGCTTTGGCTGGAGGCCTCAGTTCCTTACCCGATGGGCCTGTACATAGGCTACCTGAGTGTCCTCACAACATGACAGCTGTCTTCCCCCAGAGCAAGTAATTCAGAAGAGAGAGAGTGCCCAGTCCAGGTGATGCAATCCATCATTTCTGGTATATTGTATCGGTCACACAGACCAACCTAGTGTAATGTGGGAGGCAACTACACAGCGGTGTGAATACCAAAAGGCAGAGATCATTGGGAACTCCTAGTGATTCATATTTCCCCTCCCTCCCCATGAAATACATTCACCCCCTCCTAAGACCTCCAAAAGTCTCATCCCATTATCTTCAAGCATCTACTTGAAGTCCAGACTCTGGGCCTCTCAGTCTGGTCCAGGTGCAGACGAAACTCCTCAAGCATACTCCCATTTGATTGGTAGGCCTGGGAACGAAAGAGATAAGTCATATGCCACCTCCATACCCAATGTAGTGTGGTGGGACAAAACCAAAAAAACCAAACTCAGTACTGTCGAGTCGATCCCAACTCGTAGCGACCCCTTCTTGGGTTTCCGAGGCAGTATCTCTACAGAAGTAGATTGCCCAGTTTTCCTTCCAAGGAGTGGCTGGTGGGTTTGAACCACCAACCTTCTGGTTAGCAGTCAAATAATTGCCATGGACCCTCCTATCAAAAAGGGGGGCAAAGATGAAGCACATAGTTGTCAGCTGGTCCATAGCAGTTTTAAAATCCATCTGGGCAAATGCTGGAAATTCTTTGATTAGAACTCATTCTTCCTGCTTCCTACTTAAACATGAAATTTTCCTCCATGGCTCTTGGCTCTGCCTTCTGAGCTCTTCCTTTCTCACAACTGGTACCTCATATTTGCAGCTGAGTAGTTTTCTCAGCCCACTTCCTGCTTGTAGATGTTTGGTGAACCAAAGGCCTCTTTTCATTTTGTGTACAACCCCTTTCAGTCCAAGTTGGCAATATTTTTGCTGATACAATTCTCTTAAAAACTTTGTAAGTCTCCTGTGAATCTTTTTGGAGTTCATTCTGTTAGACAAAAACCACACCCACGCATCTCTAAGAGATCTGGTCTCCTCTACCTTGGGTTTCTGCTGAATTAACAATTCAGTTTACTGGAAACCCTCCTGTTTGAGAGGATCTGTGAGTCATGTGCTTAAACCCTTTAGAGGGCCTTTGACTGAAGGATACTGTGAGGTACCACCTTTGGTCCTTCTGAAGTCTTAACAAGGAATTTTACATCCACCCCTAGATTTCATCTTTAGACCATGCTTTCCTTAAAATGTGTTTCTTTCCTCAGAAACCATTTCTTAATTCCAGCATCTTACCATCTGGGGAGATTGAGAATTTTCAAAACCTTCATGTCCCAGTTCCTTCATGTTTAACTGTTCTTCCTTTAGGATTATCTCTGTCCTCTGGTCTTTTACTATATGTAGCAAGAAGAAATCCGGCAACCCCTTTGACCCTCTGGCTGTAAATCTCCTTAGCTAGAGTACCTAGTTCATTAGTTACATTTTTTACTTTCCATATAACAGCAGGCAATAATGTTGCTAGACTCTGAGCCACTGCCTAACAAGGATCTCTTTTCCTCTGGTTCCCAATAACATGTTTCTCACTTCCCTTTAAGCCTTCACTGACAATGTCCTTAAAAGTTCAGATTTTGACTAATCATGTGTTCAAGGCAATTTAGGCTTTCTCTAGCATGTTCAAAGTTCTTCCTGCCCCTGCCCAATTCCAAAGCCACTCCTATATTTTAGGTTTTTGTTGACACCCCACTCCTGGCACCAAAATTTATATTAGTCATCTATTTCTGAATGAAAAATTACCCTTAAATTCAGCAGCTTAAAACAACAACCACTTACTATTATTACACATAGTTTCTGAGGGTCTGTGGTTCAGGAGACACTTAGCTGAGTAGCTCTGGGCTTGGGTTTTCTCATGAGGTTGCAGTCAAAATGTCACCTGGGGCTGCAGTCGTCTGAAGACTTGACTGAGCTAGGTGATCCACTTCCAAGTTCACTCACTTGGCTGTTGACTTGAGGCCTCAGTTCCTTGTCATGTGGGTCTCTCCATAGGACAGTTCATGACATGGCTTCCCCAGGGCAAGTGATCCAGGAGAGAAACAGAGGGAGAGGGAGAAGGAGAAAGAGCAAGACAGAGACAGACAAATGAAAGCCACAATGTCTTTTGTAACCTTACCTTGGAAGTCACACATCATCGTATCCACAATATCCAGCTCGCTGTGGTAGGGGATCCCTGGGAGCTATCTTGGTGACTGGCTGCCATAGAGTCCTTAGCCCCATTTTACAGATGAGGAAACTGAAGCTCAGACTCTTGACCTTGGACACATGGCTTAGAAGTGGTGGAGGTGGGACTCCAGCCCAGGTCCACCCAAGTCCAAGGCTCACGCTCTTAACTCCCTCCTGCCCTCTGCAGGACGTCGATACTCTGGATTTGGAGATGCTGGCTCCGTACATCTCCATGGATGATGACTTCCAGCTCAACTCCAGCGAGCAGCTACCCAGGGCCCACCACAGACCTCCAGGGGCTGTCCCCCGGCCCCGCGCTCGGAGCTTCCACGGCCTGTCACCCCCAACCCCCGAGCCCTCTCTGCTGCCCCGCTGGGGGAGTGACCCCCGGCTGAGCTGCTCCAGCCCCTCCAGAGGGGACCCCTCAGCACCCTTCCCCATGGCTGGGGCTCGGAAGAGGTGAGCCACAGTAAAGGGGGGATATACAGGGAGTGAAGAGAAGGCCGCTGCCCCCCTGTCTTGCCCCACCCTCCTACTCTAGCCTCATCAATCAAGCCCATAGGGCCCCAGCACATGCCAGGTTCATCCCAACCGCCAAGTCTTTGCCTCGGCTGTGCCAACCTTCAGGAGTGCCCTCCACCATTCTCATTTCCATCCAAATCCCCCTGGCCGTCCAGGGCTCTCTCCTCTGGAGTTTATACCTTGCTGTATTAGTTTCTAAGGATCTCTGGTGGCATAGTGCCTAAGGCATTTGACTGCTAACCAGAAGGTTGGCGGTTCAAACCCACCAGCCACTCCACGGAAGGAAGACTGGGCAACCTACTTCCATAAAGATTTACCACCTCAGAAACCCAAAGGGGGTCACTGTGAGTCAGAATCGACTCAATGGCAGTGAGTTTGGTTTTCTTTGGGTATTAGTTTCCTGTTGTTGTTTGTTAAGTTCTGCCAAGTCAACCCCAACTCATGGCAGCCTCACACACAATGAAATAAAACACTGCTTCATCCGGCACCACCCCTTGATCCAGTGCAGATCGATCTATTGTGATCATAGAGTTTTCCCTGACTGATTTTCAGAAGTAGGTCACGAGGTCTTACTTCCTAGTCCATCTTAGTCTAGAAGCTCTGCTGAAACCTGGTCAGAGTCATAGCAACATGACCCCTGGAAGCTGACCATGAGATGCTTTGCCTGGGAATTGAACCTGGTTTCCCTCATGGAAGGCCAGTCTACTGACTTAACCAAGGCTCCTAGGGCTGCCATAATGAAGTACCCCAAAGTGGGTGGCTGATGAGAACAGAAATGTATTGACTCAGTTTTGGAGGCTGGGTGTGGGCCATGTTGATTCCTTCTGAGGACCCTGAAGAAGAATGTGTTCCACCTTCTAGTTGCTGGTGATGGCGGTGGTCTTTGGTGTTCCTTGGCTTACAGTTCCGCCTCCTACATCTCTGCCTCTGTTGTCACATAGCTGTCTTCCTTCTTTATTTCTCTGTCTCTTCTCTTTTATAAAGACACCTGTCATGCCACCCTACTCCCATATGGCCCTGTGCTAACTGATAGCATTTTCAAAGACCTTATTTCCAAACAAGGCCATATGCACAGATCCCAGGGATTAGGACTTCAGCACATCTTCTCACAGCTCAGTCTATAACTCTGGCCTAGTGACAGTGGTTGTTACTGTTAAGAGGCTATTGACACAATATCAGAGAAACTGTCTAGGATTAAGAACTCTTTAAGAATCTGATGAAAGCTATAGACTCTTCCCCAAAAAATTTACAAATGCACACACACTATTTTGCATATACTTTCAGGGGGTCCATGTTTCCCTTCCAAAGACATGAGATTATTAATACTCAAGGTTTTGCTCTCCAAGTTGTAGGCAGGTGCTCATCTAGTGTCCAGAGTTATCTCTTTACCATCCTTGTGAAGTGCTTAGGGATACATCTGGGTATCTTCCAAGGCTCCTAACTTGGCATTGAGCATACAATGAGTGTCTAATAAATACTTATTAAATGAAGGAAGGGGGGAATTAATGAATATAGTAGCTGGATAGAAAGATGGATGGGTGGGTAGGTGGATGAATGTATGAGTGGATATAGGTAGATAGATGGGAGAGTGGGTGGGTGGATGGATGGAGGGAGAAAGAGGAGCTATATAGATGGATAGATAGGTAGATGAATAAAAGATGGATGGGTGGTTGATGGGTCATCAGACGGATAAATGAGAAGATGGATTGGTGGATACGTTGATGGATGGATGATGATTCCATGGGTAGATGAGGAGTGGATGATGAATGGATTGGTGGATGATGGTTGGATGGATGGCTGGATGGGTGATACATGGATGGATGGCTGAAGGGTGGATGGATAGATTAAGGATGGATGGGTGGATGATGGATGGATGGATGGATGATGAGTGGGTGGATGATGGATGGATGGATGGATGGGTGATGGATGGATGGGTGACGCATGGATTGATTGATGATGGATGGATCCATTGGTGGGTGATGGATGGATGGATGGATGATGAGTGGGTGGATGATGGATGGATGGATGGATGAATGGATGGATGGATGGGTGATGGATGGATGGATGATGGATGGATCCATTGGTGGGTATATGAGTAGAAGTTCAAGTAGGTGCTTGGAGAATGAATGAATGCTCGTTACCTGTCTACACTGGTGCCTACACCTGTCCAGGTTTCCTATCCTCTGAGATTCCCGCCTATTTTACTCTAGGACCCTGGCCCAGAGCCCAGAGGACGAGGACGGAGGAGTGGAGCTACTGGGAGTGAGACCCCCCAAGTGTCTTCCCAGCTCAGAGCCCGAACACTTCCTGCTGCCTCCCCTCAGCCTGGTAACATTCAGAGATCGCTGGGATTCTCCAGCCCTCAGAATTAGACAGGCTTAGACCTTTTATAGATGGGAAAACCAAGGTCCAGAGAGGGGCAGGGGCTGCCTAGAGGTCACACAGAAGGTCGGTGGTCCAGCTCAGGTTAGGACCTTGATCTTCTGGCTCAGGGAATGAGGGTGAAAGGGCTTTGCAGTCCATCGAGCGCACATTAAAAAGAAAAAAGAAAACACTCACTGCCATCCAGTCAAATTCGACTCACAGCGACCCCCTTTGAGTTTCCAAGGCAGTAAATCTTTATGGAAGTACACTGCCCAGTCTTCCTTCTGTGGAGTGGCTGGTGGGTTTGAACCACCAACCTTCTGGTTCACAGTCAAATGCCTTAAGCACTGCTCCACCAGAGCTGCTTAGTAGGTGCTCAGCGACCGTAGCACCCGGGGAAACATGAGTGAAGAAAACAAAAATGCCTGCCTTCAATGAGCTGAACCCATCCGAGCACACAGAGCAGAGTCCTATGCTGCTGTGGAGCCCACAGGCCAGCCTCCCAGGGCCAGAGGGGGAGAAGGGCCCAGCGAGGCCCCAGAGGAGCACATGTAGAGTGTCTGGCACGCACACACACACACACACACACAAACCAAACTCACTGCCATGGAGTCAATTCCAACTCATAGCGACCCCTCCTTGGGTTTCCGAGGTGGTATCACTACGGAAGTAGATTGCCCAACCTTCCTTCCAAGGAGTGGCTGGTGGGTTTGAACCACCAGCCTTCTGGTGAGCAGTCAGAGGCCTTAGGCACTGCACCACCAGAGCTCCTGTCTGGCACAAGGACCTCCCTAAAGCCACACATGCGGCCAGTGGCTGCTGCACCCCAGGGGTGCACCCATTGCACCATCCTGCCTCCTTGGGTTTTGGTGGGGATGATGCTGATGAGAGTATTAGTCTGAGTTCTCCAGGGAAACAGAACGAATAGGAGAGAGAGATTAGAGAGAGAAGATAAAACCAGTTGCCATGCAGTCAGCCCTGACTCGTGTGCAGAGGAGAACTGTTCCCTGTAGGGTTTTCCGTGGCTGATTTTTCTGGAGTAGGTTGCCAGCCCTTTCTTCTGTGGTTCCTCTGGATGTACTCAAACATCCAGCTTTTTGGTTAGTAGCCAAGTGCATTAACTGTTTACACCACCCAAGGATGCCTAGATGGATAGGGACATAGAGATTGGGGGTATTGGGGAGGGAGAGAGGGACAGACAGACAGACAGGGCAGGAGATCTGTGCTCAGGAATTGGTTCAGGTGGTTGTGGGGCCTGGCAAGTCTGAAATCTGTCGGCCAGGCAGCAGGCTGGCGACTGTGGAAGGATATGTATGTTACAGTCTCCAGGCAGAATTTCTTCTCTTGGAAACCTCAGTGTTTGCTCTCCAGGCTCTCACCTGATTGGATGAGGCCCACTCACGTTATCTCCTCTACTTAGAATCAACTGATTGTAAATGCTCATCACATCAATGGATAGCTTCGCAGGGACGTTGAGACCTAGGCTTTGAGTGAACAACCCAATGGCAGTAAACTTCACCATCACGGTGACTTTGTCGTCTCCCACAGAGTTTCCTTCTGACGGAAGGACCAGCCCCAGGAAGCCAGCAGGATCCCAGCACCCACCTCCTGGACCTAAGTGAGCCCCTGGGTGAGTAGCAACCTGGGTGTGCAGAGGCTTTGGGATCCCCCCTCGCCCCTAGGAGGTACCCCGATGGTTGAGAGAGGGCTGGGGCCATCCTGCAGGCCATGGGGGGCTTCCGGTGCCCAGAGGTATGTGAGAGCAAGCAGCCTCTCGCTCCTGTCAAGGATGCTGTGGGGCTCAGCTAGGGACAGTGAGACAGAGCTAGCCAAGGCCGTCCTCAGGGGTGGTAGCTGGTAGCCAAGGCCAGAGCAGAACCTGGGTCTCCTGAAGCCTGACCAAGTTGGGGGTGCATTTGCCCTGACCTCTTTACAGTGGGGCGCCTTTGGGAATATTCCAATGGAGCCTCAGTTTACCCATCTGTTGATTGGGGCCACAGTGGCTCTTACCTTATGAAGATGCTTTGAGAACACGTGAAGATGCTGCATAAGAAGTGCTTAGCACAAGACCTGTCACATAGTAAGCACTCAAGCAATGTCCATGCCGTGTCCACAGTGGTGATGCTATTCCTCCAGCCTCACTGCAGAATCCGAGACAAGCTGCTGTGCTTGTGTGTGTTAGTGTCCTTGTCTTCCAGCACAGCCACCCATGCCCATAGCTCTACTTGTCTGACCCTCCAGACATCAGCCAGAGGGATCTTTCCAAAGCACGGATCTGACCCCAGCCCTCCTCTGCTCACCACCTTTCCATGGCTCCCTAGAACCTTCCAGAGAAAGATCAATCTCCTTATTCTTGGACTGCAAGAGCTTGTAGGGTCTGGGTGGTGCCCCGTCTCAGACTCGGCTCTGCTTCATACCCAGTTTCAGCCACAGACACTGTGTTTTGGTGCATTTCTTCCCTCCTTCCTTCCTGTGACCAATATTTATTGAACACATACCGTGTGTCCCAGGTACGGTCCTAGGTGCCAGAGACACAGCCATGAGCAAAACATGTAACAGACCACAAGCAAGGAAACAAGTATGCTAAAGAGGATGGGGGATGGAAATTAGCACTACTGGGGAAAATGACACAAGTAGGGGGAAAGGAGGTCCTGGGGTGGGGAACTTCAATTTTAAATAATACGATCAGGGAGAAGGCGATCATTGAGACTGAAGTCTGAGCCAACAGCACCTGAAGGAGGTGAGGGAATGAGCCATGAGGACATCTGGGGGAAGAGCATTCCAGGCAGAGGCAACAGCCAGTGCAAAGACCCTGAGGCGGGAGCGTTTGTGTTTTGTTTGGGGAAGAGCAAACCCAGTATGGTTGAAGCAGAGAGACTAGGGGTGAGCAGTGGGGGACAAATTGCATAGGGCCCCCAGAGGGCCTCCTGTTTGAGGAGGCTTCCTCAGGGCCTTTGCACATACTAACCCCTCTGCCTGGAATGCTTTTTCCTCCATTTTTTTTTTCTAGTTTTTATTGTGATTTGGGTGAAAGTTTACAGAGTAAATTCATTTTCCATACAGCAGTTCATACACGTTTTGTTTCATGACATTGACTACAATTCCCCACAATGTAAAAGCTCTCTTCCCACTTCCTCCCTGTAGTTACCTCTTCCCTGTGTCCTTCCCTCCCACGCACTCCTGCCCCCTGAGCTGTCTCCCTGTGCAAACACTGCCCTTCTGTTCTCCCATGACTGATCTCTCCAAGGAGTGTATCTACCTGATGCAAATGTTCAGCCCATATGCCTGTCTGTTATTTGGCTGGAAGCCACAGGACTGAGTTCAAGCCCAGACCTGAAGGGTAACTAGGGGCCATAGTCTCAGGGGTCTCACCAGGCCCTATCTGACCAGCAATCCTGGTCCTTTTTTTTTAAAAAGAAAAATTATTTTGTTTTATGATTTTGAGTTTTGTTCTTTCCATCTATTCTTTACCTAATTATCTCATCCTTTAGATTTGAGCATGGTGCAGTGGTTAAGTGCTTGGTGGCTAACTGCAAGATCAGTGGTTCAAACCCACCTGTTTCTCCCCAAGAGAAAGATGGTGTAGCCTGCTCCTTTAAAGCCTTGGAAACCTCATGGAGCAGTCCTGCTCTGTCAGTTGGCTCTGTCCTATGGGTCACTATGTCAGAATCGGCTCAACACCAGTGGGTTTGGTTTAGTGGGTTTTAGACCTAAACTTATGCAGTACTCCTCCCAGGAAACCTTCGAGGACTGCCTCCCCACCTGTCTTCCTAGATTGGGTCACGCTCCCTCACTTCATTAAGCTCGTTTCCCATAACACTTTATGGTTCATTATGACATATGTACTTAGGTCTTAGTTCTCTCATGCTGCTATAAAGAAATACCACAAAGGTGGCTTTACCAAACATAAATTTATTCTCTTACAGTTTAGGAGGCTAGAAATCCAAATTCCTGGCACCAGCTCTAACTAAACTCAATGCCGTCGAGTGAGATCTGACTCATAGCGACCCCTCCTTGGGTTTCTGAAGCCATATCTCTACGGAAGTAGATTGCCCAATCTTCCTCCCGAGGAGTGGCTGGTGGATTTGAACCACCAGCCTTCTGGTTAGCAGTCAAGTATCTTAGGCACTATGCTACCAGAGCTCCCTGGCCCTAGCTCTAGGGGAAGTCTTTCTCTCTGTCCCACCTTTAGTGCAAAGTCTTTGTCATTAACCTTCCCCTGGATCTAGGAGTTTCTCAGCACAGGGGCCCCGAGTCCAAAGAACACGCTCCTGGCTCTTCTTTCTTGGTGGTAGGACGTCCCTCTCTGCTCACTCGTTTAATCTCTTTTATCTCTCAAAAGAGATTGACTCAAGATACAACCTAACCCTGTAGATTGCACCCTACCACATTAACCTAATTGTCTCTAATCCTGCCTCATTAACATCGTAAACTCAAACTCACTGCCATAGAGTCCATTCTGACTCATAGCGACCCCTCTTTGGGTTTCCAAGGCAGTATCTCTATGGAAGTAGATTGCCCAGTCTTCAAGGTGAGGATTAACAACACACAACATAATCATATCAGGTCATGTGTTGGACTGGGTTCTCTAGAGAAACAAAACCAGTAAAGCTTATAGAGAGAGAGAAAGAGAAATTTATTTTAGGAAAATGGCTCACACACTTACAGAAGCTGGCAACTCTCAAGTTCTTGGACCAAACGTCATGCTGGAGGCTTTTCCCGAGTCGCAGCTGCAGGGGCTGAGGAGCTCAAGGTTGGCAGGCAGTACACCGGCTGTTGACTCCAACGAATGATGAATCCAAGATCTCCAGGCCGAATGGTGGATTGTTCGCTCACAGACAGTTGTAGGCAGCACAACAGGATCCCGATCCACAGAAGAGTGTCTCTTTTCCCAGGATGACCGTAAATATGCTGGAAGCAGGCCACACCCCTAGGGAAACTCCCTTTCAACTGATTGGCTGCTTGAAACATATAGATCTGATCCCATCATGGGAATAACCACATCACAACAGCTTAAACCACACAGAATTGTGGTCCACCCAAGTTGGCACACAGTTCCAACTATCACAGATCACAACATAAAGGATAATTACATGATACTGGGAATCATGACCTAGCCAAGTTGACACTTATCTGTGGTGGACAATTCAATCCATAACATGTTGTTATTTGATTTATTGGCTGTCTTCCCTCGATGGAGAGGCCTGTGGGAGCAGAGGCCAGGACTGTCTTGGGCTTTGCTGTGCTCTGCTATGTATGTGGGGCTGAGCAGTGGCTGGGCACAGAAGTCCCCAGTACGTATTTGGAAATGAATGAGTGAAGGAAGAGCCCATACTTATTTATTGAACCATTACTCTTTGCTAAGGTCCCTGGGTGTTTCAAATGGTTAACATACTTGGCTGCTAACCAAAAGGTTGGTGGTTTGAGTCCACCCAGAGGGTCTTGGAAGAAAGGCCTGGGAGTTTACTTCCCAAAACCCAGCC